TTAGATTTTATGAACCCTGTTTGTGAGACAGAAAATGTTGTGCTTGTACATGTGCACATAAAGCTGATCATAAAGAATTTTTTCAAAAACTTTGCAAATGACTCTAGAATGTCCCTGGCTTGTTGTTAGGGTCTGATTAACTTTTTTTTGGTAACCTGGTGATTTTGACATATTTGACATCACTAGATACTTTGCCCCACTCGTAGGTAAATTAATTATATTGGTTACATATTATTATCTAATAATAATATTGTATATTACCTCAGGCTTACTGTATCTCTTAAAAATCTAGCACTAATACCATCTAGCCGAGTTGCTTTTTTAATGGATGTACTGTAGTTGTGCAGTATTGCCTCACCATAGACCCATGCAATCACCACACACTCCCAGAAAGCCTGCCACAGTAGAGTGATGCCACTGGCAGAGTAGTAGTCAAACAGCTGGAAGACATACATCCCTCCCTGACAGAGACAGAGAGAGAAGTCAGAATCAAGACCATCAGTGTTTGACCCATTTCCAGCCTCATCACTGCTGTCATCACAGTTCCATCCTGGCAATACTTTCCTAACCCCAATTAAGCATTAGATACACAATCATTTTTAAGAATCATTAAAATAATCCTCTGCTAGCAGAACAATCTCAGGCTCAGGTACGAGACTCTGGCCTTTCATCTAGCTTCTGAATGCAATTGTATTCAGAAACGTGTTGTTTTACAATCTGCCAGTCTCCACAGGACTTGCACCCAATTCTGAAGAATACAACCAAATGAAGTCTAAAATTCTGGGAAACTCTCATAGTACTGCACCTCTGTGACCATGGACATATCGATGAGGAAGCAGATGAGGCAGCAGATGGCCGCTACCACCTCTCGCCGCAGAGAGCACAGGGCAGATTTTGGAGGTAACATGTCCATGATTCCAGTTATCAAACCTTCTACCCCTACAAACTGAAAAACAGGGTGAAGAGATAACAGAAAGAAAGAGAGTGAAAAAGTGAAAGAGACTAAAAAACAAAGGGGCACAGTGGACTAATGCTTGTAACGAGTTTCAGAGCCTGTGAATATGCATTAATGTTGTCATCTGCTGATATACTGTATTTGAAAATAACAATGTGCTCACTAAATGGCAATGATGGACACATGAAACAGAAATATCCAGGAAAAAACCCCCCACAAACTTTAAAGAAAATTAAAAGGTTGGCTGTAGTCTCAACCGCACAACTCAATAACCTCCCCTTTCATCTCATCAGCATATGTCAGAAGCACTGAATTTCAGATGCACCTGACATTAAGAGTTTGCAGTTGAGCATGCCAGCTCCACAATGAGTTTAGAGGAACTAAACTCATTAGGTCAGCTGTGGAGCTAACATTATATCATTAACTAGAAATTGCAGCATTTGCATGGGCAGTGTGGCTGAGGCAGGACAAAGGGAAAGATGGCTGGAGAAAATAATGAAGGAGATAATAGACAGTGAGAGGCAATGAATGGATTGGACAGCAGACAGATGCTCTCTGTGTGAATCAAACAGAAGCTCATTGACAAATTCCTGGACTGTAAAACAATGTATGTAGGCACTGGCTCAAACAGACATACAGCAAGCAGGCTGTGAAGAAATGCAATGTTAAAACTGGACACGATGTTTCCAGACTGTTTGAGTTTGAGAAGAAAAGAAAGAAATGCACATGACTGTATCAACTCTTCATTAAGTGTGAAGTGATAGAGTATGATACAAAAGACAGCAAAATAATGTAGTAAGAAATACGTTCCATTAGCATACAGCCCTTCTTAGTTAAATGCTCTCTCCAGTACTTTTAAAAGTGCACATTAACAAACAAACATACAACAGGTGTTGTCTGTCAGGTTTACCTGGCTGTCCAGACCCAGTATGAGCAACATAAAGAAGAAAAGTGCTGCCCAGAGTGGTGCCAGAGGCATCAAAGTCACAGCCTTGGGGTATGCTATGAAGGCCAGGCCTGGACCTGCACATTAAGAAACAGAGCCAGAAGTATAATTTATGTAGCTCTCAATGTCACTACTCAGCACATACCACCAGGCTGTCGGTGGCAAAACTGTGATGAAGCTGTATTCTTACCACTCTCGGCAACCTTGCTGATGTCCACACCTTGCTCAGCAGCCATGAAGCCCAACACAGAGAACACCACAAAGCCCGCAAAGAAACTGGTTCCACTATTAATAAGGGCTATCACGAATGCATCCCTGCAGACAAATAAAAAGAGGAAAAAGAAGAACAGAAAAAGAGAGAGTGATGTTGTGAGAAAATGATGCATTATAAGATGCTAAAATTAGGCTCATTTAAGACAGTCAATAAAGACAGAAGAGATGGAATGGGATGGTAAACGGAGGATCAATACCAATTTTTTTGAGAGCTGCCGATGTCTCTAGTAGTTGGTAGGTAGAGAGCAATAAGTCAATGAGAAGTCTGTTTCAAGGTAATAGAG